AGAGGGAAAGAGAGAGAATATTCTGAGCATGGGGGACAGCCAGAGAAAATGCCCAGAGCCCAAGGTCACACAGATAAGAAGTGGTAGATCTAGAATTCAGGTTTCATGAGCACTCTTTATTAAGCTCCATCCCTGACAAAGAGGCTGATATATATGGACAGATATAGATGGACAAACCATGTTTTAAGCTGTAGTAAATCCTTATGCTATTATGCTGAAACACCACCCTCTTAATCAGCTGCTCACTTACCAAGTCTGCCTTTCTTTCCTGAAGCCCCTGACTTCAGTTGTCAGCCAACAAGAAAACACCACCTGTTCCTCCCTGCAAACCTCCGAATTGCTAGCAATCTGCCAGAAGTAGGTAGTGTTTGCTGAAAACATTTGAGAAATAAAAGCATCAGAAGGGCTAATTCTGTGACAGCATCAAAAGCCTCTGACCTGGCAGGAGTTTCCATTCCTGATACGCCCTTCCCAGCATTATGTCAAGCCTGAAATTTACCAGGCCATTGGGTGTATATCCACCTCTCCCTGCATGCCTGCCCCAGGAGGCTGAAGGATGCCTTTGCATCTGTATCTCTCTGACCCTGTCCATCTCACGCACGTGCACACAGCTTTGAGCAACAGTGTGCTAGTAAATGTTTAACAACAGACTTTATGGAAAAATGTATATATACTGCTTGCCTTCTCAATGGGTGGGGAAGGAGCTCCAGGAAGAAGAGAATTTGGAACTCAAAATTCTAAAAAAAAAAAATGTTAAAATAAATAAACTAATTGTTTTTTCAAAAAGGAAGAAAAATTTATGTGTGGCACATTTTTAAGTTTTGCCTGCATTGTGAATATTTTTCCCATTACTTTCTTAAGTCTAGAAATGAACAAAACAATAAATCAAGCTCTGATTTGTAGTATTTGCTGATTTCTAAGGTGCAAATCTAGCGCAGCTAGGTGGTGCAGTGAACAGTGCTAGGCCCAGAGTCAGGAAGACCTGAGTTCAAATCTGACCTTAGGCACTAACCAGCTGTGTGATCCTGGGCAAGTCACTTCACCCTGTTTGCCTCAGTTTCCTCATCTGCAAAATGAGCTGGAGAAGGAAATGGCAAACCGCTCCAGTATCTTTGCCAAGAAAACCCCAATGGGGTCAGAAAAATCAGACAAGACTTAACAACAAACAGATGTAAATGTGCACACTGAAAATTTAACAACTGAACCGGTTTGAGCAACTACAGAATCTGGAATATAATTCTGCTTCCTCTCCTGCTCACCCAGATATTCTCCTTACCTGAGGTCTTTCCTATCAGGAAGGTACAAGGAACAGTACCAGCACTTTCCAGTAGGGGGAGCAGGTTGAGTCAATGATAAGAAACGATTTGGATGCAGAAGAGCTGGGGTCCCATCCAAACGATGCTATTTACCACCTGTGGGACAACCTTGGCCAAATGACTTCAACTCTCTAGGTCTAGGCTCGCTCATCTGTTAAATGAACCTGAGCAAAAAGTGAATTCTCCATCTCTAAAAATCCAATGATCCTAGGAATAAGCCAGGTGATTACAAAGGAGTGATGGTGGGTTGAGCGCCACAGCCCCAACTCCTTCCACTGTTCTCTGCATCCTCTCTTCCCGTCTTGGCTGGTTTGTCCTTATGTGGCATGGACAGAACTGAGGCCCTTTGGGAATACATAAATTCCCTCTACAGGATTCCTGGTAAGCAGCTAACCAACTCTGTGGGAGAAGGTCCCCACCATCTCCCCAGTCACCCAGGCTCACGACCTCATTTCCTCACTTACACTCACACCCCTCTATCCAATCTGTTGCCAAATCTTGTTGTTACCTTCAAATACTTTATATATGCCGCCTTCTCTCTTCTGATACAGCTATGTTCTGGTGCATGTCCTCATTTTCCCTGCTTTGTCTTTTCCCACTCCAGTCCATCTTCCACTCAACTGATCATCCTACCGTGTAGGTCTGACCATGTCCTATCCTTAATATATATATATATATATATGTATGTATTTAGGCAATTGGGGTTAAGTGACTTGCCCAGGGTCACACAGCTACTAAGTATCAAGTGTTTGGTCTGAGGCCGGATTTGAACTCAGGTCTTCCTGACTTCAGGGCCAGTGCTCTATCCACTGCGCCACCTAGCTGCCCCCTCCTTAATTAATATTCTCCAGTGGCCCCCTATTACCTCTAGGATCAAGTATAAAAACCCTATTTGTGGTTTTTAAAGTCCTTTCCAATCTGGCTCTTCCTACCTTTTCTGCCTTCTTGCACTTTACACCCCTTCCTGTATTTTACCATCCAGCTATGCTGGCCTTCATCTTGTTTCTTAAACATGACTCACCATCTCTCAACTCAGTGTCTTTTCTTTTAATAAGTTTTTGTTGATATTTCTGTTTCTTGTATCATCATAGTATCCCATATATCCCTCGCTTTCCCTTCCCTTCTTAGAGAGGCATCCTAAATGACAGATAGTATTTTTTCGGAGAGAAAAAAAAGTCAGCCCAACTGATAGATTTATTGAAAAAGTTTAAAAACAGGTGCAATGTGTAACACCTATGGACTTTCCACCTCCTTGAAGAGGTGGTTTGCTGGTATCTCCTTGCACCTCCTCGTTCTGAGCCCTCTTTATAATTTTTTTACATTTATTTTTGATTTTGGAGAGACTCAACTCCTTTTTTGGGGGGAGGCAATAGGAGTTAAATTACTGCCCAGGGTCGCACAGCTAGTAAGTGTCAAGTGTCTGAGGTTAGTGCTCTGTCCGCTTCACCACCTAGCTGCCCCGGACTCAGTTCCTTTTCATAGGCTGTCCCCCACGTCTGGGATGCTCTTCCTTCTCACCTCCACCTCTAGGTCCTTGGGTGCGGCCTTTTGACTGAATCCAAGTTTTATAGTACCAATCCTTTTATTAAGGGGATTTGTTCTGTGAAGTTTGGATTCAGTCTAAGGGCTGCACTTGAGGACCTAGAGGGCCACATGTGGCTTCGAGGCCGCAGATTCCCTACCCCTGGCATAGACTCTCTTCTCAGAAGACTATGGCTGGCCCACTTGAGGATAGGAAGGCTGGAGGAAAAATACACTTCTTGCCTTCAAATGTCCAAAGCATTTATTATGTGTCAGGCACTGTGCTAAGTGCTAAGGATACAAAGAAAGACAAAAACATCATCTTTGTGTTCAAGAAATTCACATTCCAATAGGGGAAACAACATGCCTCTGTGATGATATATTATATATTGATATATAATTATATGTTTTAATATATTATTTTAATATATAATTATGTGTTATATTAATATATTATCCAATTATATACAATATGTTAGTTATAATAATTAGTTGTATTAATATATTATATACTATAGTATAGATTAATATATTATTTATATATATATATATGTGTACATAGTGCCTGGGGGGGACTAAGGGGGGGAGGGGGAGGGGATTTGGAAAAACATCTTACAAAAAGTAGATTTTAACAAAATCCTCAAGGAAACTTCTATTTTGGGTCAGCAGCTCTGCTTCGTTTTAACTCCTCAGAATATCATGCCCCTGATAGGTATCCCCCACCATGGCCTCCTTCCCCATACTTTTCAGATTCCTTTTGCATATTGTCTCCTCCGTTAGATTGTAAATTCCTTGAAGGCAGGAACTGTCTTTATTTTTATTTGTATCTCAAGCACTTAGCATAGTGCCTGGCACATGGTAAGTGCTTAATAAAAATGTTTTCTGACCGGAATTGAATTATGGTGTGCCTGTCCTTTGGGAGGTGGAGTAGATACTGAAAAGACCAGGGCTGGGAATGAATCATAAAGGAGCCAAAGTCCTATTTGGGTTCCTGAGTCCCTGTCTTTCCTAGCAACCTGGATGTGAACTTAAATCAGGGAGACTGCAATCTGGTTGACCTCTCTATCTAGGTATTTCTGTCAATTGACCAATTGATCAGAAGGAAGATCACTTACTTCGGCAACTGAGTGGAAAATGGACTGGAGTGAGGGAGACCAACCATCTGGCTATTGCAGTAGTCCAGGCCTGAGGTGCTGAGGGCCAGTGTCATGGCAGTAGTAGTGTTAGAGAAGGTGGCACATAAGAGAGATGTGAAAGCAGAAAGGTGTAAATATCAAGAAACTGCTAGGTGACATAGCCGATAGAGCGCAGGGCCTGAAGTCAGAAAGTTCAAACCTGGCTTCAGATACTTTCTAGCTATGTGACCATGAGCAAGTCACTTTGCCCTGTTTGCCTCAGTTTCCTCATCTGTAAAATGAGCTGGAGAAGGAGACAGCAAACCATTCCAGGATCTTTGCCAAGAATACCCCAAATGGGGTCAGGGAGAGTCAGACACAACTGAAATGACTGGATGACAAGACGTGGTAAGACTTGGCAGCAGATTGGATAGGAGGGTGAATAAGAGTGAGGTGTTGAAGTTCATTTCAGTCTACCTTCTGGACAGGAATGGGGAAGGGCAGAGGGTGAAGGAGGTGGCCCTGGATCTGTCCTGCTAGAGGCACTGAGATATAGTGGAAAGAATAGACTAGTTTTGAAGTCATAAGTGGTTTTGAATCCACTTACTTGGTTTGGGATTAGTCACTTTCTTTCTCTGGGCATCACTCATTTGAAAAAGTGAGATCGTTGAGCTACATGATCTCTTAAGGTTACTTCTGTCTCAAGATAGAAGATTCCATTTCTAGCTCTAGAGAAGATCCTATGTTTATTCTCTGAGTCTTAGGAGATGCAGGAAAGAACCCCCTCTATTTTCTTCAAATTTAGTTCCAGACCTGGGAGATGAGGAGAGAGTCATTTTGTGTTCTGGGTTGTTTTGAACTGGGTGTCCCCAACTTCCAAGTTGGCCTTTCGTCCCTTCAGACAGGCCTGTGGGTGGGGAGGGGGTCTTAGAGAGTTTGGAATGCATGCGGTCACAGGGGCCCCTTTGTGAGGTGGTCTAGAAAGGCTGGTTTAGAATTCTTGGAATTGGGATTCTGTGAAGGTCGGGCGTTGGGCCAGGCTGGCACGATGAGCGAGAAAGCCGAATGGACACATTGGGACACAAAGAGCCAAGGAAGACAATTGAACTTCCTTAGGGTAGGTTGGTCCTGACGCCTCGGGCTGGATGTCCCCGGTGGGGGAAGAGAGAGATTGAGGGAGGGAAGGAGAAATGAAAGAGGAGGCGAGAAGGAGAGAAGAATGAAGTACCTCCCCATGGGAAGGATGCCTCCCCTGGCATAGTCTAGATCAAGGGTGAGGAACCTGCAGCCTCAAGGCCACATGTGACCTTCTAGGTCCTTGGGTGGGGCCTTTTGACTCCAAGTTTTACAACACAAAACCTTTTATTAAGGGGATTTGTTCTGTGAAGTCAAAGGGCCGCACTTGAGGACCTAGAGGGCCACTTGTGGCCTCAAGGCTGCAGGTTCCCAACCCCTGGTCCATATACTGAGTGAATTCTCCCCTTTCCCACCTTTAGACTGGATTTCGAGAATCCTATGGAAGGCCAGAAGAAAAAGTGCTCATCAACCGTCATGAGGTCACAATTAGCACAGTAAGGCCTTGGGCTAAAGTGACCAGGACCCCTGCAATGACATTTCCCCTCCCACCCCATCGGTCCCCCTTTCTTCTGTAGGGACACCCCCATTCAAGTGCTCTGCCCCTTGCAGCCCCATGCCAACCCCAGGGTTCCCTCTCTAGCGACTCTGTCCATTGTAAGCTGGCCTCTCCCCGGTGCTCCTTCCGCGGTGGGGTGGCTGTCCCTCCTCTCTCACAGTGATGTTCCTGCTCTCCCTGTCCTCAGGATGCCTGGGACATGCAGGAGTTCTTCACTTACATGTACATCAGGCAGCTCCTTCGACATCCGGCCTTCCAGCTGCTACTGGCTTTGCTTCTGGCAGCCAATGCCATTACCATCGCTGTGCGCACTAATGTTTACCTTGGCCAGGTGGGACCAAGCACCCTATTTCCAACCCTCCCGCCACCCAAGGCCTTCCTCTTTTCTCCGTCCCCTATCCGTCCCTCTCCTCATGAGGCACCATAGTAGATAGAACACTGAGCTTAGGGTCAGGAAGATCAGAGTTCAAATTCTATCTATGCCACTAGCTTAGACCCTGGGCAAGTCACTTTACCTCTGTTTGCCTCAGTTTCCTCATATGTAAAATGGGGATAATAATAGTACCCAAAGTGAGAGAGAATATTTGTAAAAAACAAAAACACAATACAGTACCTGGCACATAGTGGGTTTTAATAAATGCTTATTCCATTATTCCATTCCATTCCCATATAGCTCCTCTACTGATCTATTTCTCCATCTTTCCATTCCCATCCATTCCTCCCAGCCACAGCATCTCTACCCATCCGTCTCTCATCATCTCTCCATCTATCCTTCCTCATTCATTCCTTTCCACTCATCTGTCTCCCATCCATAGCATCATCTAGTCATCCATCCATCCCTATAATCATCTACTTATCTCTCATCTAACCTTCTTTTCACCTGTCCCTTCCCCATTCATCATTCCTTCCCATCTTCCACTTAACCCTCCATCTATCCCTCCCCAACCATATTATCATCTATTTCTCCCATCATTATCCCTCATTCATCCCTTATCTATCTATCCCTATTCATCTTTCCATATTTTCCTTCCCAATTCATTCCTCCCAATCCATCTTTTTATCTATCCCTCCCCCTATTCTTTCCTCCATCTCTCCTTCCTCTCATGCAGTCCTCCATCTGTCATTCTCCATTTATCTTTCTTTGCATTCATGCCTCCTTTCCTCATCCATTCACTGATGGGTAAATCTTTATATCTACCCATTTCTCATCTTTCCACCTAAAAAGACTTCACTGAGCATTTTCTGTGTCTGCTGTCTTTGGCTAAGCCTCAGATGTGGGACAGAAGAACAAAGAGAATGCTACATCTGTTCTTATTTACAGAGAATTCCCTATCCCATAAGAGAGACAAGACTGAGGCATGTAAACCCTACTAGGCGCTGAGTGCTAAGTGCCCAGCGAGAGGCCCACAGTCACTGTTAGGCAAAATTGTAGGGCAGCCATGAGAGACAGACCGGAAAAGACAGAGAAGGCCTCTTGGAGAAGATGAACTCTGAGGTGAACCTTGAAGAATGGGGAGGCTCTGGAGAGACCGAGAGAAGGCAGTATGGTAGAGTAAGAAGAAAACTGGATTTGGACTCAGATGGCCTGGGTTCAGATCTTGGCTCTATTTCCTACCTACGTGGCATTGGGCAAGTCTTTGGCATCAGCGTCCTTATCTGTAAAAATAGTGGGGTTAGACCTGATGGCTTCTGAGGACCTTTCTAAGAAGGTGTCCCTTGTGGGATGATAGAAACTGGAAGGCACATAACTATGGAGATGGCTTGGTACCGTGAAGAAGGGCGTGCTTGAGAGGGAATTAGGAAGACCTGAGTTTGAATCATGTCCTCAGATACTAATTTGCTGTGTGACCCTGGGCAAGTCATTTTACTTCCCTGGCTCTAAGTTCATTACATATAAAATGAGGCAAGTGGATTTGATGCACTTTACAGGTCCCTGATAGTTCTGAATCTATGTTCCTATTATTTCGAAAAGTAAGTATTGAGCCTGTATGGCTCTGGATAAAAGTTTCCGACGCCGAATTCAAGGCTTGTCCCCAGTGAGTTCCACTGCCCCGCTGGATACAACATCTCATAGTTAGGAAGCTACATCCTACCCTCCTCCCTTCCCCACATGTTCACAGGCATTACTTCCCTTTGCCCTCACACATAAACGTTCAATGTTCCATTTCTATTGTTTACCCTCATTATAATATCATTAGCATGTATTAATTAGCCAGTCCAAGCTTCAGCTAGGTGTGGTTCTGCTTGTTCTGAAGCATTTACCCCAAGTTTATGCTCTGGCTATCCTGATCTGGTGTCCCCTGGTCCTATGAACTTTTTGTGGCTAACTTTTTCCACCAGCATCTGGCAGGCAGTTCCAGTGACAAAGGACCCCTTGCCTCTCCTCTTCTTCCTATTTCCCCTTTCAGATAACATGACTAGAATATTTTTATTTTGGTCTGGATTTGTGATTTTATAGGCATGGGAAACTCCCAGTGCAGAAATACCTTCTACTCATTCAGTCTGATAACCAACCCATAACTTACGATCTTGCACAGTTACCTGGGTTACTGAGAGATTAAATGATTTGCCTGTGGTCATCCAGAGACTGTACCTGAATCAGGACTTGATCTTAGTTCTTCCTGACTCTGAGGCAGGCCTGCCATCTACTCTTAAAATAAAGCTAGTAAGGTTACTGCCCGGGGCCATGGGGTCCCTCTCCTACCTACTGGGAACTTTGACTAACCTCTAGCTGTGCTTCTCCACTTCCACCCCGCCGCCCCAATCCCCAGCCAGTTTCCTTCCTTGGTAACGGGGAAGAATGGAGAAAACTGGCTTGAAGGTAGGGGTGTGCCAGACCCAGATCCAATAGACCCAGGAGACACCGATTCTTCAGATTTCAGTGTGAGCCCTTACACCTAGGAAATCACAACAAATTAGGGCTTGATTTCTTGTTTTGTTGGTTGGGTAGAATTAAGAAAAGTGACGGAGAAAATGTTAATAATTTATGTTGAACATTAAAATGTTTGCTTTGGCTTTTTCTTCCTCCAGAAAGCTGGTTGTTAAAAAACATTTACCAGCATGCCCCTTGCCTAAAGGTTTGACATGTGTCAAGGAGGAGTAGGTCAGGGACCAGACAGAGTAACACTTGAGAAGGGCAAGAGATGGAGGGGAGGGGATGGCGATCAGGAGGGGAGAGCCAAAGGTGGGTTTCTAGCTCAGGAGACTGTGATAATAGTGTCAAAGATAGAAACAGGAAAGTCAAGTTTGGGGATTTGGAGGGGGAAGGGGATAAATTTAGCTTGGGACACATGGGTTGAGATGTGAAGGTGGCCCATGGGGCATTGGAGATGGAGGTCTGTGGGGAGCTCAGAGGAGAGTCAGGGCTGGGAGACAGTTTGGGGATTGCCTGCTTAGAGGTGACATTTGACGCTGGAAGAATAGATGAAAGTGGCACCAAGGAGGAGAGAACAGAGGAGGAAACCACCATATTTGGGGTCAGGAGATCTGCGTTCCAACCTGGTCTCTGTTTCTTACTAGCTACGTGACTATGGGCAAATCCCTTCGTCAGAGGTGGAGGTTTCTCACCCCTGTCCATGTCTAGCTTCTGTCATCTGTTAAATGGGAGGGAAGGGGGAAAGTTGGACTCAGTGAACTCCAAGTTCTCTTCCAGCACTAGGATCATAGATATAATATTGGAAAGAGAGACTTATCTAGTCTGACCATTTTATAGGTAAAGAAACTGAGGCCCAGAGAAATTAAGTGACCTGGCCAAGAGATAGTAAGTAGAAGAGCCAGGATTTGAACCCAGGTACTTTGAGTCCAACTCTGCCATTTTTTGTCCTGTACTATGCTGCCTGGGGTTGAGTCTTAAGAAACATATTGTGGAGAGAGGAGGTGGGGATGACTAGAGATATCCTCCCTCTTCTCTCTTTTCACCCACCCCAGACCTAGGGTTCTTGTCATTCCCACTGCTGTCATCCCCCACCCTTGAACCCCAGAGCCACATCTCCTCTTATTCCCAGGCCTGCCCAAATGACACTCTCTCTCTCTCTCTCTCTCTGTCTCTCTCTCTCTCTTTCTTCCCTCTCTCTTTCTCTCTCTACTCTCTCTCTCTCTCTCCTCTCTTTCTCCCCTCTCTCTTTCTCTCTCTCCTCTCTCTCTTTCTCTCTCTCCTCTCTTTCTCTCTTTCCTCTCTCTCTCCCTCTCTTTTTCTTTCCTCTCTCTCTGCCTTTCTCTCTCTTTTTCTCTTCTCTCTCCTCTCTGTCTCTCTCTGTCTCTCTTTCTCTCCTCTCTCTTCTCTCTGTCTCTTTCTCCTTCTTTTCTCTCCTCTTTCTCTCTTTTTCTCTCTCTTCTCTTCTCTCTCTCCTCTCTTTTTCTCTCCTCTCTCTCTTTCTCTCTCTCCTCTTTCTTTCTCCCTCCTCTTTCCCTCTCTGTCTCTCTTTCTCTGTCTCTTTTTCTCTCCTTTCCTCTCTCTCTCTTTCTCTCCTCTCTCTGTCTCTGTCTGTCTGTCTGTCTCTTTCTCTCTCTCTCTTTTTCTCTCCCTTTCATGTAGAAACACTATGAGTTATTCTCTGCCATAGATGACATCGTGCTTACAATTCTCATGTGTGAAGTTCTGCTTGGCTGGTTTAACGGCTTCTGGATCTTCTGGAAGGTGATTTCAGTCCCGTCCCTCTAGCCCCCAAACATGATGCCTGCTCCACTTTGCTTCTGCTCCCATATGTCTTTAATTCTACTGAAGGCTTCTTTGTATGACTGAGTACATGGGCATTGGTGTGAGCAGGTGTCTGTCTCTCTGGTTTGAGATGAATGTGTGTCCATCTCTGGTGGGTGGGGTATGTCTATATGTCTCTTGGAGGGGTAGTTGTATGTCTGTGGGTAAATATCTATCTATGGAGCATTTTTTATATGGGTATCTGATGTATGTGTCTGTGTCTATCTGAAGGGTGAGTACCTTCAGGCCTGTGTGTCTGTCTGTGGCGAGAAGACTGTTTGTATATCTGTGTGTGTCCATCTGTCCATCTGGAGGGGGTGTGCCTGGGTGTATGTGTGTCAATTGGCAGGATATGTATATGTCTGTGTATAAGTATCTGTCTATGGAATGTTGTGTGTGTGTGTGTGTGAGAGAGAGAGAGAGAGAGAGAGGCAGAGAGACAGGGAGAGACAGAGAGAGGAGAGAGAGAGG